GTGAGATTTCTGCCCCACTAGAACTGGAAGTTCGAACTGAGACAACTATCAAACAGAGATTGGTGTCTCTCATTGCACTGGGGGTGCCAGAGGGAGTGGTGGTCACTGCTGGTACCGCAGTAGGGAGATGAGGTGCTGAGCTGTGGTGCATTGGAACTTGATAAATGTTCAGGGTGATGAAGGTGGGGTTAACGTTTGAGAGGCCATGGCAGGAGGACAACTTGGAGGGTGACACATTGAGAGAAACCTCCAATCAGTCCAAGGGGGCCTGTTAATCAGAGATAACTTTCTGCCCACCATCAGTCTTCTGGATTGGCACGTTGGAGTGGGCTTCCCCTGCACTAAGGTGATGAGATTCCAAATTGGATATTAATTGGAATTGGCCCCAGTCGCCCTACTGCTGCAGGGACCACCCAATGTTAGCATCACAGCTGGAGTAATTGTGCCTGGGTTGGGGTATGAGGACAGGCCACCTGCTGGATCATTGTGCCACCCACCTTCAAACCCATCACTGAGGGGGCATTAAACCAGACCCTCTGATCCATCTGTTTATTCCTCCAATTGCAGTGTCACTGAGACAGTGACACTAGATCAAATGGGTTTTGCTCTCTGAATGGGTGGGGAGAGGAGAGGAGGGGAGAGGAAGGGACTGACTGCTACTTTTCAGAACTGGTTGGGAGGATTGAAACACAACTGCAAAATGTTATTTCAGGTTTCTCAAAGGGGCTATTAAAGCGACTGTATAATTTTATGAATGAAAGATGCTGGAGCTGATTGGCTTAATGTCTTTATTCAGGATGAAGAGATCGACAGGAGAATGGTATGGGAGGACAATATGAGATACATCGAACAACACAACCTGGAGCATTCGATGGGGAAACACACATTTACTGTGGGAATGAACCAGTTTGGAGATCTGGTATGTACAAGACGTTTCATCTGGGATCTGTTCACTGCTAGTCATTGTGAAATTGTGAAGCTGGTATAAGGTTATAATAAGAACCAGGAGCAGGAGTTGGCCACTTAGTCCCTCAAGCTGACTCTATCGTTCAGCATACTCAATGACTGACTGGATTGTGATCTTACTCCATTTTCCTGATTCCTTCTTCCCCACTCCACGCTTCTATAACCCAGAACTCCTTTGGAAATCAAAAATCCATCTTTCTCCAACTTGAATGTATTCAATGACTCTAGCCTCCATTGCTCTCTCTCTCTTTCTCATGCACACTTTCTTTCTCAATGGAATAGTT